GGGGGGGTTATTTGCCGAACTTGGGTGAAACTGATGACATTAACGGGCCAATAAACTGCAAGAAAGTGTATGTAGAAGAGTAAATAGAAGTAAAAGTACACACACCGACTTTTCTAGAGGTCTCTGCCAAAAGGGGGCAGAGCCGGCCCCCCTGAACAGGACAGTTGTCCAGTTTTGGGACAAGTTTGCATTATCCATGCCCAAAAGTTTCATTGAAATATATACAAATCTTTTTACTGTGCACCGAATGTCTTTGCAAAACGAGATATTACCTTGTACAATTAGCAGAGGTGTGGAAAGGACCCAGCAGACTCCACCCACTACATGAGGGGGCGGAGACAAGACCAGTCACCCTGCACAAGGAGAGAGAGAAGCAGAGAGCGGTCTTTATTACAGGAGGGGCGGAGACAAGACCAATCACCCTGCACAAGGAGAGAGAGAAGCAGAGAGCGGTCTTTATTACAGGAGGGGCGGAGACAAGACCAATCACCCTGCACAAGGAGAGAGAGAAGCAGAGAGCGGTCTTTATTACAGGAGGGGCGGAGACAAGACCAATCACCCTGCACAAGGAGAGAGAGAAGCAGAGAGCGGTCTTTATTACAGGAGGGGCGGAGACAAGACCAATCACCCTGCACAAGGAGAGAGAGAAGCAGAGAGCGGTCTTTATTACAGGAGGGGCGGAGACAAGACCAATCACCCTGCACAAGGAGAGAGAGAAGCAGAGAGCGGTCTTTATTACAGGAGGGGCGGAGACAAGACCAATCACCCTGCACAAGGAGAGAGAGAAGCAGAGAGCGGTCTTTATTACAGGAGGGGCGGAGACAAGACCAATCACCCTGCACAAGGAGAGAGAGAAGCAGAGAGCGGTCTTTATTACAGGAGGGGCGGAGACAAGACCAATCACCCTGCACAAGGAGAGAGAGAAGCAGAGAGCGGTCTTTATTACAGGAGGGGGCCAGACCAGTCACCCTGCACAAGGAGAGAGAGCAGCAGTGACCGTTCTTTGTTACAGGAAGCTCCAAGTGTCAAACAGATCTGGAAGAAATACACAAAGCTCACCAAGTTTCCAGGAAGAATGACTCTTGTATGAGGACAATATTTCCTTATCCCAGAGCCCAAATTTAAAGTATGTGTCTTTAATTCTGCGCTCTTACTTCTTGCTGACTTTTCTTCTTCTTTTCCCCCTCTTAGCCGAGAGAACGGGAGCAAAGCGTGCCTTGACCTGCAGGCCATAGACACAGTGCGCAGTGGGCGGGACCGGGAGGACGCAGTAATGCATCATGTGCTGAAGGGAGGCCTCTACAAGCCACGACGCATGGTGAGCCCCTGCCGGGTGGAATATATTGCCCCTTAAAGAGACCCTGTCAGGGTGATAGGAAATTCTAAAGGAAGGTTCCCTGAAGTAGAAGAGGTTTCATACACACATTGGCGGCCCACATCTCCTACCTCCCCTCCGTTCCAGCACTGCAGCCTGTGCTAGTCATTTTTCGGCATTCAACACTTGCGGTTGCTTGCGTCCCCTGATTTGCACCAAGGGCCCATCTGACCCCTATGTCACTTCTGTAGAGGTTTGGGCAGCATCAATCAGAGACGTATATACTGCACTGACCAATGAGAAGTGCTGCTTAGCAAGAAGCACTTCTCATTGGTCAACGCGGTCAGAAGCATTTCTCATTCGCAAGCTGAATGTCATCCCGATAAAGATTTGATCTAGTTATTCCTCGGGCAGGACAATTTCTGGGATCTCAGGAGGACTCCATATGATGATCTGTTTGTCTGTTGCGTGGACAACCAATCACTTTGTATCTAACGATCTCTGTCATCGCGTCTGACTCTTGCAGTGCAAGGCGAGCTACAGCCGCCATTTTATGACGCAGGACGAGCAGGAGCGCCAGGAGAAGGAAGTCTTCCAGAAGAACATGAAGCGGAGGCTGGAGTCCTTCAAATCCACTAAACACAACACCTGCATGTCCAAGTCCCGCGTCAAGAAAGACGGCCGCAAGAAGGTAAGGAAACGGCTTTGGGAGATTTCCTCTCACTTCCTGTTGCGGCTCTGGGACAGGAAGTGAAGGGAAATCTCCCCAGTGGTACACAGGTAACAAAAAATAACCTGGCAGGGTTTTAACCCTCCCCTGCTCTATCCAAAAGCTAAAAAAAAGTCTAAACAGAAAGTCTTGGCTATATCTACACAGAGGAAAACCTGCCAAGAGAGCAACATGGAGGCTTCCATTACCGACCCCCTCCTTCTACAAATGCTGGTTGCCTGACTGTGGTTCTGATCCCCTGGCTTCGATACTTTTGTATATGAATGCAGATAAGGACCTCTGAGTCTTTATGGGTTAGAGACTCAGAAGGTATTGCAGTCAATGTGGCAGTATAGCAGCCAAGCAGTTAGCATTTTCAGAAGGTCAGCAGTAGCAGAGCCCATGATTCTCACATGACAGGTTTACATTAAAGAGACCCTGTCTTAGGTCTGCAGTAGAATTAGCAATGCGGTCATGGTAGTAGGGATGGGGAAGGGAGGAGGCTTAGCAGCGCGAGTGGAGTCTCAAATACCTATCTGTCCCTTTGTTTTACATGTTGGGCGAGGAATGCCCCGTTCGCAGCTGATTGAGGCAACACTGACAACTTCCTTCAGGGCTCAGATAAACAATAACATTGAACCATGACATTGACCTACAATGACACTGACCTGCCATAGCCATAGTAGGTCAATAATGTCAACAGCATACGCCCCTTTGTTTACCTGCAGGGCGGGGAATGCCCCACCGGCCACAGCTGATTGGGCTGACACTGACAGCTTCCTTCAGGGGCAAGATAAACAATAACATTGAACAATGACACTGACCTCATATGGCCATAGTAGGTCAGTAATGTCAGCAGCATCCTCCCCTTTGTTTAACTGCAGGGCGGGGAATGCCCTGGCCGAAGCTGATTGGACAGACACAGCTTCCTTCATTGGTCAGATAAACAATGACATTGAACAATGACATTGACCTACTACTATTGACCTGCAATGACATTGACCTACTATGGCCATAGTAGTTTAATAATGTCAACAGCATCTGCCCCTTTGTTTACCTGCGGGGTGGGGAATGCACCGGCCGCAGCTGATTGGGCCGACACTGACAACTTCCTTCAGGGCTCAGATAAACAATAACATTAAACAATGACACTGACCTACTATGGCCGTATGACCATAATAGGTCAGTGATGTCAGCAGCATCCTCCCCTTTGTTTACATGCAAGGCGGGGAATGCCCTGGCAGAAGCTGATTGGACGGACACAGCTTCCTTCAGGGCTCAGATAAACAATGACATTGAACAATGACATTGAACTACAATGACATTGACCTACTATGGCCATAATAGGTCAATAATGTCAGCAGCATCCGCTCCTTTGTTTACATGCAGGGCGGGGAATGCCCTGGCCGGAGCTGATTGGACAGACACAGCTTCCTTCAGGGCTCAGATAAACAATGACACTGACCTACTATGGCCATAATAGGTCAATAATGTCAGCAGCATCCGCTCCTTTGTTTACATGCAGGGCGGGGAATGCCCTGGCCGAAGCTGATCGGGCAGACACTAACAGCTCCCTTCCGGGTTGGGACAAACATGAGATCCGTAGCTCATCCTTAGCCCGGAATATACTCGCACAGACTTGTAAAGTTACTACAGGTCAAGTTACTACAGGTTGGTGACATTTCATTTCCCTGATCTGATACAATGTATGTTCTTGCTGAGCTGTGTGAATGTTATTATGGGATGCTGAGTGTTGGTACATTGTGTCTTAGAAAAGTCTTTGGTATACTTTGGCAGCGAGACGTATACTGCCGCATGAATGCCGTTTCCAGGACGACCTTTCCGGAGACAGGAGACGTCTGCGATGTATTTATTTACAAGCTCGTCCTATTTACGTAATCGTTCCGTAGTGAGCGCGGCCGCTCGCTCTGTTAGCAAACGGTAATCCAATCCGCAGATGGTTATCGAGTCCGATTCATGTCAACATTTTCCCCCCGCTTCTCAGCGAGCGAGTGAAAGGAAAACCTCAGAGTAACCAGCAAGATGGAATATATATACGACGTGCCAAGAGCTACGTACTACTGGATGGTGTTTAATGGGCCGTCATGGCAGCTGCAGGGGTTAACCCTCTGCTGGCCGGGCTCCGCCATTATACACTAAAAAGAACCAATCAGACGTCAGGCAATTCAAACTGAGCTTATAACCAAAAAAAAAACCCAGCATAATCGTATGTTACAATTAGGGAAAACCGCAAGTCAGAATGATCAGTACATCCAGAGATATAGGCAGCTGAAGTTACATACAAATCTTGCCCCGCCCTCCCCCACCTCCTGAGCCTCGCTATTGGTCAGTGAGGCAAAACGTCAAGTGAAAGGACCAATAAAGAGCCGCAAGATGTGAGGTAAGTTGGGATTTGGGTATAACTTTAGCTGTCCTCGGTGATCCATCACTCTTGGTTTCTACATGCAGTTGTCCCCGGTTGTAAATATAGTCAGCATAGGGGCCCGAGTGTAATTATTGGCCCCCCAAATTTTCAAATAATCGCCAAGTACAACCTGTAAATTGCCGGGCTCAGTAACATGTACATTTCAGGAAGGCAGTTACTCAGGACCCGTCTCACTATATGGGTTATATTCTACAAATCCCAAAAACTGTAAGTAAAAGGAGTTTTTGGACCTTGTATAGATTTGGGGAGGGGAGGGGTGGGGGAGGGGTATGGTACTTCTATCTAGGATTTTGGCCCACCAGTTTTAGATATTCTATTTCAGCAGTAGGCAACCTTGGGGCGTTAGCTATTGTGGAACTACAAGTCCCAGTGCTTTGCAAGACTGACAGCCACAGGCACAACTCCCAGAGGCAGAGGCATGCTGGTAGTTTCCCCACAACTGGAGTGCCCAGGTTGCCTACCCCTGAATTTGAACCTACGTACGTATAGGATGTACAGACTCATTCTAAGACCTCATTCACACAGCGTACAGCCGGGCCGTACAGATCCGTGCGGCGTGCGCGGCTGTATCGGGCCGTTCCCGGGAGGGACAGGTGCTGCGCGTGATTGCACGCAGCAGCCTGTTCTTCTCTATGGGAGGACGCAGCCATACGCACACCTGAGGTGCACATCCGGTGTCCGTACTCGGACGCAGACAGGATGGATGTGCAGTTCGGGTGAGCGTATGACAGTTTACGGCCGCGTCCTCCCATAGGGAAGAACAGGCTGCCACGCGCAGCAGCTGTTGCTCCCGGGAACGACCCGATACCACACGGATCTGTACGGCCCGACTGTACGTTTTTTTTCTATGGAGCCCGACGGAGAAGGTCGCGCTACCGTCGCTGGAACGTCGCCCCGAAAGTCACACTATCCCGACCGCTGCAAAGGTATGTCGCTATATGTGAACGGGGTCTAAATTGGGCTTGGACTGTAGACCTGGTCCGGTTCCTCCATGGCAGGGAGCCGAGTGTGGGTTGTCTGCAGGTTCCATAGAATGGTCAGTGATGGTGAAATGATAGGACGTCTTATGCTGCAGAAGGTCAGAGTTTCCGTCATTTGGCTCGTTTTACTTTTTCCTCTCACTGGCAGAACTGCGGCCAAGATCACCCGGTTACATCGGCAACTCATCACGTTGCCTGGCCAGTAGACAAACCAGAACGATGGATTTCATGGAAGATCCGAGTCACTTTCTGGACTATGATTCATTTCTTCAGCTGGAAACCTTCTATGTTTTGGTATATCCCGTGCAGTGTATCCCGTGCAGTGTATCCCGTGCTGTGTATCCCGTGCTGTGTATCCCGTGCAGTGTATCCCGTGCAGTGTATCCCTTGCAGTGCATCCCTTGCAGTATATCCCTTGCAGTGCATCCCTTGCAGTGCATCCCGTGCAGTGTATCCAGTGCAGTGTATCCCGTGCAGTGTATCCCGTGCAGTGTATCCCGTGCAGTGTATCCCGTGCTGTGTATCCCGTGCAGTGTATCCAGTGCAGTGTATCCAGTGCAGTGTATCCCGTGCAGTGTATCCCGTGCAGTGTATCCCGTGCATTATATCCCTTGCAGTGCATCCCGTGCAGTGCATCCCGTGCAGTGTATCCAGTGCAGTGTATCCAGTGCAGTGTATCCCGTGCTGTGTATCCCATGCTGTACATCCCGTGCAGTGTAGCCCGTGCAGTATATCCCGTGCAAATGGAAAGGATGTAT